GACATGGTCCGGAGCATGATTAGTCTGACAACATTGCCAGAATCATTTTGGGGATATGCATTGAAAACAGCAGCACACACACTCAACAGAGTTCCATCTAAAGCTGTCGAGAGCACACCATACGAACTATGGCGTGGGAGAAAACCGAGTTTCTCGTACTTTAAGATTTGGGGCTGTGAAGCTTATGTAAAACGTCTCATGACGTCTAGTAAGTTGGAGCCTAAATCTGATAAAGTAATTTTTTGTGGGATACCCCAAGAAAACTAGAGGGTATGAGTTCTATCATCCATCCGATAACAAAATTTTCGTTGCTCGGAATGGAACCTTCCTTGAGAAGGAGTTTCTTTCTGCTATCACTAGTGGGAGAAAGGTAGACCTCGAAGAAATTCGAGAACCACAAAAAGAAGTCCCGATAGTGTTGGAACCTGAGCAAAGAGATCAAGCAATTGAACCTCAAATTGCTCAAGATATACCACGTAGGTCAGACCGGATACGTAATCCTCCGGTCAGATATGGATTTCTCATGTCTGACGAAGGTGACGTCTTGTTGGTAGATCAAGGCGAACCAGAGACCTACCTCGAGGCAATTACATGCCCCGAATCCAATCTATGGCTCGAAGCCATGAAATCTGAAATGGAGTCTATGTACACAAACCAAGTCTGGACCTTGGTTGTTGCGCCCGAAGGGGTAAAGCCCATTGGATGCAAGTGGGTCTTCAAAAATAAGACAGACATAGACGGGAAGGTTCATACCTTCAAAGCTAGATTGGTAGCAAAAGGTTATAGACAAATCCACGGAATTGACTATGATGAAACCTTTTCTCCAGTTGTTATGCTGAAATCCATTCGGATAATGCTTGCGATTGCAGCCTATTACGATTATGAAATTTGGCAGATGGACGTCAAGACGGCTTTCTTTAACGGGAACCTCAAAGAGGATGTTTTTATGACACAGCCTGACGGTTTTCAAATTGCTGGTCAGTCTGCCAATGTTTGTAAGCTGCAACGTTCAACCTACGGATTGAAACAAGCATCTCGGAGTTGGTACATACGTTTCAACGAAACCATTTCCAGTTTTGGTTTCGAGACGAACTCTAATGAATCTTGTGTATACAAGAAGGTCAGTGGGAGTTAATAGTATTCCTAATATTATATGTCGACGACATATTATTATGGGTAACGATATTCCCGCTCTCACTTCTGTAAAGACATGGTTGAGCGAGAACTTCTCCATGAAAGACTTAGGGGATGCTAGTTATGTCCTTGGCATAAGAATCTACCGATATAGATCAAGAAAGTTAATAGGTCTGAATCAAAGTACATATATATATAAAATCCTTGATCGATTTAGCATGTCTAACCCAAAGAAAGGATCTTTACCTATGACACCTGGCACGGTTCTTTCCAAGAGCCAGAGTCCTTCTACTCCCGAGCAGAAGGAACTCATGATGAAGGTTCCATACGCCTCTGCGATTGGATCCATCATGTATGCCATGATATGTACTAGACCTGATGTCTCATTCGCTTTAAGCGTGACCAGCAGATACCAGGGAAGTCCAGGAGAAGCACACTGGACAGCGGTCAAGAACATCCTCAAGTATCTTCGCAATACTAAGGATGCATTCCTGGTATACGGTGGTGAGGAAGAGCTAAAGGTGGTCGGTTACACTGATGCTAGCTTCCAAACCGACAGAGACGATTCAAAATCACAAGCAGGATATTTGTTTTGC